GTGGGAACTGGGCAGCGGAAAAACCAGGGGGTAAGTAATGGGATACCTGACCCTAAAAATATATATATATATATATATATATATTCAGGTTATACTTATATGGCGGTTTGGGTTGGTGGTTTGGAAGTCTGGGAAATCAGAGTTATGTGCAAAATAGATTTGAAAAAGTTTTCTTTTGTGTGTTTTGTATTTGTGTTATTTTTGTTTAACTAATCTAATCTAATCTAATCTAATCCTAATCTAATCCTAAACCAATCCTAATCTAATCTAATCCTAATCTTAATTCATAAGCGAATACTAAGTATAATTCGAATCCTAATCTAATCTAATCGTAATACAGAATCATAATCAATAATACTAATACCTAATACTAATCACTAATAATAATCCCTAATCCTAAAACTATCCTAATAAAACTCCTAATACCTAATCCTAATTCCCTTATCATAATTACCGAATCCACTAAGCTAATCACTAACATAATACCTAATCCTAATCCCTAATCCTAATCCCAATCCTAATCCTAATCCCTAATCCCTAATCCTAATCCCTAATCCCTAATCCCTAATCCTAATCCCTAATCCCTAATACTAATCCCTAATCCTAATCCCTAATCCCTAATCCCTAATCCTAATCCTAATCCCTAATCCTAATCCCTAATCCTAATCCCTAATCCTAATCCTAATCCCTAATCCTAATCCCTAATCCGAATCCCTAATCCTAATCCCTAATCCTAATCCCTAATCCTAATCCCTAATCCCAATCCCTAATCCTAATCCCTAATCCTAATCCTAATCCCTAATCCCTAATCTTAATCCCTAATCCTAATCCCTAATTCTAAATCCCTAATTCTAAATCCTAATTCTAAATCCTAGTTCTAAATCCTAGTTCTAAATCCTAATTCTAAATCCCTAATTCTAAATCCTAATTTCAAATCCTAGTTCTAAATCCTAGTTCTAAATCCTAATTCTAAATCCTAATTCTAGATCCTAATTCTAAATCCTAAATCTAAATCCTAATTCTAAATCCTAAATCTAAATCCTAAATCTAAATCCTAGTTCTAAATCCTAAATCTAAATCCTAATTCTAAATCCTAATTCTAAATCCTAAATCTAAATCCTAAATCTAAATCCTAATTCTAAATCATCTATTCACGCAATGGCGGAAATTTTCACATCAGCCACTCAGCCACTCTGGCAGAGTGACTGAGTGGCTGAGTGGCTGCTCCAGCCACTCTGGCAGAGTAACTGAGTGGCTGAGTGGCTGCTCCTCCAGCCACTCCGGCAGAGTGGCTGAGTGGCTGAGTGGCTGAGTGTCTGAGTGGCTGCTCCTCCAACGTCTCCGGCAGAGTGGCTGAGTGGCTGAGTGGCTGAGTGGCTGCGTCGGCCACTCTGGCAGAGTGGCAGAGTGGGCCACTCTGGCAGAGTGGCTGAGTGGCTGCATCAGCCACTCTGGCACAGCGGCTGAGTGGCTGAGTGTCTGCGGCAGAGTCATCAATCAATGAAATGGACGGATAAAGTTTGAAACATTTCAATATCCAAGCAAGAGTATATATATATATGACATTGACAGCAACTTGATTTACAAACATAACCCTGTAAACTTCAACTGCCATAGCTACATAACTTCAACGGATTGATTAAGAACAGCCACATATACACTTTGAACCATAACCTGAAATCACTTAAAAAGAAAGAGAGTGGTGATGAACTCTACAAGTTTAGGATTGGAAACAACTATTACAACGACTATTTGGTGAGCAAAGAATGGCTATGGTGTGCTGTAACCAGAGCAACAGATTTCAATAATGTATATTTTTCAAAAATGATACAGCCGACGAAGGTATGTTTAAGAATTTGGTAGTTAACTATTTTAAAAACAAGGTTGAAGGTCACAAAGGACAAGACAGAAAAGGAGGAAGAGAAATAGTTGATGAATACATTGATGAATATGTTTGAAGATGTTCAAGGGTTGTTGTGCAAAGTGTGGAGTTAAATTTAATCTTGATACCAGAGGTGGCAAATTATCAAGTAACTTTACGGCGCAGAGAGGTGATAATGGACTGTGCCATTCTATTGACAACAGCGAGGCTTATTGTTGCCACTGCAATTCTTCTTCACATTAGATTTTTTCAAAATAATAAACTTAAAATATTGGTATGAGTAAGCAAGAAATCATAGGAAACATATATTTTTATAAAGCAGGGTTTGGTTCCAAAAAACACTACTTTGAAGGATGCAAGAGAGAAAAACAAATCTATTACTATGAAAGATGTTGAAGATTTTTTTCGAAAAGAGTGTAGAGATAAAAATGAACCCGGGAGGCTATAACAGCTTTGTTGTTCCGCATAACAATCATAGATGCCAAGTTGATATATTTTTTATTTCCAAAAAAGAATTAAAGGTAAAACAAAGATACAGAGCTGGATTAGTCTGTATTGATTGTTTGAGTAAGTATGCTGTCATAGTCCCAGTAAGAAGGAAAGAGACAGGCAGTGTTATTCAAGGAACAAAGAAAGCGATAGAGAAGATGGCAAAGAAACCTGAAATCATATACGCCGACGACGAGAAAGCTATAGCAAGTGGTGAATTCCAAGCATATGTAGAAAGCGAAGGCCGAATTGTATAGGACAAGAGGCCATCCTGCTTTTGCCGAGCGTTTTACAAACAGCTTTTAAAGACAAATTATGCAAAAGAGTTGAGAACGATGAAAAGAATAAAAAAACGAATATACAATGGATAGACTACATAGATGAAATTGTGTTAACTTACAATAATAAAGATGTGCATTCCGCTACTGGTCAAACACCGTAGAAAGCCAGAGATACAGACAATGAATTCAAGTCAAGATTAAACATTGCAATGAAAGCAAAGAAGCAGAGGCTCTATCCTGAACTATTTGTGGGAGACAAAGTAAAAATCAAAAGGAAGAAAGCAACAACGGAGAAGGAGAGAACCTCACACTTTTTGAAAGGTGAGTATACCGTAGAGTCCATTGATGAAAAATTGAATCAAACATATTTTATATTAGAAGGATACAATAGACCACTATTGAGGCATGAATTGCTGAACATATAAATTACCATTTATAGGAAATCTACTTAAAGGAATATTATATATATATATATTATCTATATATATATATTATCTATATATATATGTATTATCTTTATATATATATTATATATATATTATATATATATTAGCGAAATGTCATTCAGTGATACAAGTAGTGAACGTGAAATCAATCAAGAAAAATACATCAAACAAAAAATCTTAAGCTGTAAATGTAGTGAATATGCAGCAATAAAATGAATTATAAAAAATAGTTTTTCCGATGGTATTGGTAATAAAATTTGTGAATATGTAGCCTGTAAAAGTTGCTCAAATATAATGAGTCATTTTGATTCAATTGAAATTGATATTAACCCTAGTGACGATGATGATATTGATGAACAAATTCAAATTTACGTTTATAATACTTTAGTGAATGAAATTCCAGATGATAAAATGAATTTAGTATTAAATGAAAAAGAGATAAGACATTATCAAGATTGTGGACAAGGATTGAAACATGTTGTAACAATTCATATTCTACGGTTGCATTCTGCATGTTAGAAATGAATATTAATGATGCTGATTGTATGGATGATAACTTTAATCATGAAACCTTTATAGATTGCTTAAGAAAAATATTGTTGCATATCAAAGACAATGAACAGTTTATTGGAAATACAATTATTGACGAGAATAAGTTTGACAAAGTGTATGAACGAATACAACAAGGAATTTATATTTGAATCCCATAAATTTTCATATCAGATAATATGTTTTTTTTATGGCATAAGGAAATACACTTAAAATTGAAAGGATAATACCTTATAATAGTATGGAGAGTAGAAAGTGCACAAAGTGTAAGAAAAACAAAAATGGTGACGAGTCCAATGGAATGAATAGAATGTGTATTGAATGCTTGGACAAGCAAAAGGAGAGCAACAAAGTATATAATCAAAAGGAAGTATTCTGCGACATTTGCCAACGGAATGTGAAACAATGCAGGTTGTCCAAACATGTCAAAACCGACAGGCATTCCAGCATGTCAAAACCGACAGGCATTCCAGCAAGGAAAAACTCAAAAAGGAAGAAGAGAAAAAACAAACATATATAGAGGAATACTTAAAAGATGATGAAGCCAGAATTGCAAAATTGAAACAAATCTGGAAAACCATTACACCAAAAAACTTTAAAAGACTTTAACCCCATATTTTTTCATATCATAATATATGAACATTTATGATTCGAACATAGGAATGTTAGACGTGGATGATTTAGATTTATGATATTATTTTATAATAATATATTATGATAAAATATTATGATGAAACTTTATGATATGAATTTATGTGATGATGGAGGATGATGAAATGATGTGGGATGATGATGTATGAAATTATGTGGTCTTATTTTGTGTTGATACTGTGATGAAATGATATGAACTGTTGTGAAAATGAACTGTGGTAAATGATGAAATGATGGAGGTGGATGATATGACCTTAGGTGTGTTTGTGTCTAGCTATATCTACATATATATATATATAATTTCTTTTATAACATACACATATGAAAACATTGGAACTATAACCAAATGTCTCATTCCTTTCGCCATGATGATCCGCAGGGACCCACAGAGCGAACCCCTTTAACACAAATGATTAATGACTTCTTTCTCACAACCCTTTAACACAGATGTTTAATGTTTGCCTGTTTGCCTAAGATTCCATTCAACCCATAAGAATATGCCCCAGTGCCTGGATGAATAAAGGAAGGGGCCCTAAATTAGCATAAAACCTCACTTGAGATACTACCCAGACCTAAGAAAAATTAGGTCTGGGTAATATTGCTTACACTCCAATGGCTCTCCAGCCACTCAGCCACTCAGCCGCTCAGAGTGGCTGAGTGGCTGAGTGGCTGGTCCAGCCTCTCTGGCAGAGTGGCTGAGTG